CCCTGGCAGGAGACACACACCTGACCGGTGGACTGACCAGGTCCTCGGCCTGCCCCTCTGACGTGGCTGAGGAAGCATCAGCGCAGGATGCTTTGGGCGCGCTGAGCAGGAAGACGGGTCTCGACACGGAGGGGACTGTGCCAGGTGAGCTTGACCCTGGTGGTACACCCTCCCGCTAAGCCTGTTCGCCATCCTTGAGAGCAGGGTAATGGGCACAGTGGCCATCTGCCCAACGTGGGAGGATGCCAGGGAGCTGGATTGTGTGGTCCTGGGGGGGGGTTCTGACTGGGGGGTGCACCCCATTTTGCCAACCGTCACCCCATCTGCCTGCACGGTGTCTTTCTTGGCGTGTTTTCATTCACAGCCTCCCTTGCTGGATCAGGGCTCCCAGAATAGCTCAAAAGAAATGTGTGGAGACTGCGGAAAGGGAGGTGAGGTCCCAAAGTCACGTGGGCCCAGCTGGGAGGCAAGTGCGGCCCTGGGGTCCCCGGCACCTGCGTCACCGGGGGGCTGGGGAGCAGCCTAAATTCAGGGCCCTGCCCAGACCATTCAACCATGGTCTGGGCAGCAGCCAGTACCAAGGCTCCCGCATCTGCCCGCTGGCTTCAGGGCCAACGCATGGGCAGGAAGCAGGGCAGTTCCCTTCTCGGAACACAGAGGCCACCGCTGCCTGTGCTTGAAAACCTGCCGCGGGACCGGCCCAGGCAGCAGGGCCATCGCAGGCCAGCTGGCAGGCTGGCAGCAGTGGGGTGGGCAAGCCTCATCCCAGGGGCCACAGCGCACAGCTAACCGGCACATGCAGGCCAAGGGTGGAGGAGTGTGCCACACTTAAGCGCAGGCATAGCGGACACTAGGGTGGGCGCCAAGGTGCCCTCTCCAAGGCGTGAGCTGCCTGGGATCCCGTGGGCTCGAGCGGGGAAGCACCTGCAGGGCTAACCTGGAGTCAGGTGAGGAACAGTTCAGCAGCCACACGCCTGGCGCCCTAAAGACCTGAGGCCACCAGCAGCCAGGCGCAGCCCTGTCCTACACGGGGCGAGGCCCTGCGGGGTCTCCATGTGGCAGAGACAGCCCCCCACCAAGAGCCGCAGGCCCGCCTCCCCCGCCCCATCGCCTGTCTCCCTCAGCCCTCGGCCCGATGCCGCTCTTCTCACTCTCTCTTCCCAGGAGGACCAAGTCTGCTGGGGACTCCCATTTGGGGGACAAGGAGACCTGGTATCAGTTTCCAGTGACAGCCCCACCTCTTCCTCAGAGGCGCTTCCGCTCTGACCCCTTCATCACCTGGAAGCCACCAGCCTGCGGCCCCAGCTCAGACTGATTTGTCTTCCAAGGCCCGGGCCCCTGCCAGCAAGCTGTTTAGCCTAATGAAAACCCAGGCAGGTAAACAGGCAACTGTTTGTGTAATATGTGGCCGGGAAGGGCAGAGGCGTGGGGGGTGGGGCTCATGCCAGTGACGGGGCAGCTGACGGGACCTGGGGACCAGAGGTTCCAGCGAGGGGCAATGAGGCAGGTCGCTGGGCAACACTCAGCCTCTGCTTGTTCACACTGGGTGGGAGGCAGCCTGGCCCTGTCAACTCAGAATGTTTACGGCAGGGGAACAGGGTTCACGAGGCGAGGTGTAGAGGCCTGCCCACCCCGTGGCCCACGCCCTCCACGGCCTCTGTGTTCACCAGATAACCTTCCGCTCTCCCAGCAGCTCTGACATCTGCTCTGTGCCTAAGAGGTGACAGACTGTGCTGAGAAGAAAAGAATGCACCCTCCCGAGCTGAGCCTCCCCTGGGGAAACCAGAACAAGTACCTCACAGGACACCCAGCTTTAAAAGCTTGCTGGAGGGAGGCTGGCACAGACACCAGGCCATCACCCCTGACCGAATTCAGAAAGCACAAAGTCCTCAGATCACACGGGGTCCCCCTGGCACGCGGAGGCCAGCCACGCCCAATGGGCTCACCAAAGCCAGTGGCTGAACAGCCAGGCTGCTCCTATTTGCCTTCTCAGAGTCAGGTCTGCCCTGCGGGGCATGTGCCACGGCTCAGGCATTCATTCCAGAAGGATTTCATCAGCCCAGTGCCCATAATTTAGCCAACTCCAAGCACCTGATTGGGGCAAGCCCGCAGCCAAAGGAGGCGGAGCGTGGGGGGGGGGAGCAGGATTACATACTGCGCTTGGCATCAAGCACGCCGAGTTCAAACACTGGGCACCATTTATGAGGTCGGTCGCTTTGGGGAAATTCACCTTCCGGAGTCTGTCTTCTGTAAAATGAGCAGAACACCACTCCCTCACCTGGCAGTTAAAGCATTAAATAGGGTTACTGAGAAACTGCCGCGCTATTGTTTATATTTATCTGGAGAGGGACAGGGAACAGGTCTGTGTTCAAGTTCTAGCTCCAACACTTACTGGGTGTATATTAACAAGTTGCTTAATTTTTTCCACCGAGTCTCACTTTGCTTCTCTGTAAAATGGGAATGGAAATTCCTCTTAGGTGCAAAGAAGCAACTAAGCTAGGGTCATTCAAGGGAAAAGTCTAAATCATGAGACACGTCTATGTGGCATGGTTTAGTACGGTAATTTTTAAAAACTGATGTTTTTATGCACACAGAACTGGGGTACAGGCCAGAGCTGCAGTCGCAGTGAGAGGCTTCCCCAGAGACAGAGTGGGGAGTAGAACAGGGGAGCAGGAGGGAGACAGGAGAGGTCTGCTGCGCCCTGGGGGTCACCTCTGGGAGGATCGAACTCACTCTGAAGCAGCTGCTGCCATGCTGGGCTTTAATCTGCTGCGCCACCAGGGAGGGCCCGGTTTAAAGTAATTTTTAAAAGCCCATTATATACAAATGAGTGGTCCACACAGGAAAAGCGAATGTGACATTTACCACAAACTTCTTTAATAAACATACCAAAAAAAAAGAATCACTTGTATTTGCAAAATCTCAAGAAGGCAGGCTTCTCACCTCACTACTTTCATGCACGTTTTATTTTGCACTAGAACGTTGTTTGTAAACAAGTCCTGCCAAGTCATGCCCTGCGGGGAGCAGCTGTCTGGGGGTCACTTCTGCCTGGCGGAGGAGAACGGGAGCCCCTTGACGAGCTCACCCCCGGGACACGCCATGTAAACCTGTCAAGAGCCCTGCAGCGGGGGCCACCAGTCACTCCCAACACGGGATTGTCCCATGTTCCTCTCCTCGACAGACCTCTTTAAAGCCAAGCCCCAGAGCGGCTTAACCCGGACTCCAGACACAGCCTTCGGGTCCAGCAAGCGGCCCCAGGCCTGGTGTGACTGCGGGTGCGGGACGGGACGGGCTGGGGTGCATTGAGACTGCTGAAGCGAAACCTCAGTTTCAACTTGGTATTTTGAATACTAACTGAGGTTCTCCGAAGCTGCCAGTCTCCTTACGCGCACCCTGGGCTCGCGGAGGCCCCGGAGCACCTGTTTAAACGGGCCGGCACGCGCGCAGCCGGCGGCGGGGGCTGCACGACTGCGCCCCGAGGCCGCCCGTGCGAGGCCCTGCGAGGTGCGCGGACCGCCAGGACACCCGCCCCAACGCCGGG